GCTTCTGGGTTCAATTCAGTGTACTAGTGATGACCTATAAAGCCCTGCATGGCATGCGATCGGATTATTTGAGGGATCGCGTCTCCCCAGTTACACCTACCCATCTTATTAGGTCCAACCGGAGAGATGTGCTTTAGGTCCCATCCGCTAGAGAATGTTATTGGGGGAGGTAGGAAGAGAGCCTTTTCTGTCATTGTGCCTGCCCAGTGGAACACCATCCTCCTGGAGAGCAGATTGGCTCCAACCCTCCTGGCCTTTCATAAGGCCTTGAAGATGTGGCTGGCTTGGGCATATGGATATGCAGTAGAGCCTCTACTGTGGCTGTGTTGATTGTTGACTGTTTTTTAGACTTTGGCTGTGTATTCTGTTATTTAGTTTTTATATAGTTTTATATGCTTTTTATATTTTAAGGTTGTACTTTGTTTTGTTTTGGTTTTTTAGTTTTTTTATAGTTGTAAGCTGCCCAGAGTCATGTATTTAAGATAGGCAGCCAAATAAATCAAATAAATAAACAAATAACTGCAAGAACTTGGCAAGCATACTTCCACAGTGACATCCAAGTTAACAAACTCTTTTTCTACTAATCTCCTATGAAGGTGAGATTCCTGTGCTGACTTTCCATTTTGAAGCTTGCCTTTTAATAATTAGTGCTGTTTCCTTAAGAATTCCTCAATTACAACTTCAGCCAGGAAAGAGGGAGAGGGGGAGAGAGAGAGAAAATGTCAGCAACCTTTTTTTAAAATCTCCCTACATTTTCCATGAAATTTTGCCATTATTTTATAAACACAAGACTTAATGTAATATCCAGGAATTACAGACATCATTTGGGGTGATAGATGTCCTAGGATGAGGCAAAGATAAAACATGCAGGTCCCAGGTTTGTTTGCAGCAATTGAATCATGCTTTTTCAGGGTGCATTCAAGAGGTGTTTGCAGGAGAAGTCAAACAAGGCAAGATGACAGTCATAGCATGGCAATCCATACTCTATCCCTTCTGAATATGTATTGATGTCACACATATGTACAAAGGCTAGGTTTATCTGGAATTAATGTTCACCTCACCCAATCTACAATCCTGCCAAGCGGGACCTAATCATGGAGCTCAGCAGACCTGGTGAAGATGAAAAAAAGACCCGGACATCATCCACATAAAGATAGCACCCAGCCTCATTGCCTTTGCTGATCATTCCCAATAGATTACTACAGCATGGGGGATAGAATGGAACCATATGAGGTCCTACAGTATAAAGGCCAGAATGGAATGGTAATTTCCCAATACTATCCTCTGTATCTACTCTCAAGGTAGAAACAAAACTATGGCAAAGCTTTGCCTCCAACTGCACCTTACACAGAATACAAGAATGTATTGTAGCTGGTCCAAGAATACAGTGATCAGTGATATCAAAAACTGCTAAGATATTCAGAAGCACTAAGAAGATTAAGTTACCCCTGTCACATAGCCTCAATAAATTGTCCATCAGAGTGACCAAGGCTATATCTCTACCATGACACAGATGGAACATGGATTGAAATAGACCCATGTAGTCAGTTTCCTCCAGAAACACAGTCAAATCAATAAAGCAAAGATAAGCCTCTTCCCTGTATTATCTTACTGTGTTCCTTAAGCATACCATATTTATACCAGACAATCACTATCATTAGGTTTTTTTAAATCTTTTTCTGCATATAATAGTCATCTGAATTCATCCATTATCCATTTGATGTTTGCTATTGGATCTTGTATATTTCTGTCTTTTCTGAAACTTGCCTATTTATCTAGCATTTCTTTCTTCTTCTATCTTCTTCCTATCAAGATCTGAAGGAAAAATTTGCTTGTGTGTGAGAAATTACTGCAGTGGTTTGGTAATTTGCATATTCTCTTGAATCTTCTTCAGTATGGGTGTATCCCATAACTAAATTTTTACACTTTCTAGCCCACACAGTCTTGTTCCATATTTGCTGATGTACGGCTATTAGCATTTTAACTGCCTTTTCTCCTGTACTTTAAAGAAGTCTAATGAGTAGCCTAATGGGTATTTCATCTGCCTATGGTGCTTTCCTATCTGACCATTGATTGCCTGTCATAACTCCCTTTCTAGTGGGAATAGTAGCTAAATATGTTTTCTCTCTACAAAGTTTCTGTTACTCTGTAATCCCATTTATAAAAGGTTCCAGTATAATGTCCCTCTTTTTTTAAATCTCATTTGCCTCTGTTAGTCCCTTTGGTGGTTATTTTCTTAGTTGTACATTGTCTGTGACATTTTTGATGTTAAAATCTCATTTTCTTTTTGTTGTTATGTTAATAATATTCTTACTGAGATAACTTTTCTTGCCCTTCCTTGTCTGGCATTGATAGACCACATTTAGTTGTTGGGTGACCTTCTTTTGCTCAAGTCTCATCTTCCATCTTTCCCGGCTATTTTGATAGCTTATTCTGAAAATCACTTCACTATTAAATTTAGGGAATATTTTTCCACTCTGTTTTCACTCTGTTTCATATCTCATCCCTGAATGTGTTATTTACATCTGTTTTTTATTTTGACTGTATTTTCTCCAAGTCTTATCTTGCTGATACACCTACATTCTTTAATTTTATAAATTTGTCTGTATACTTGGCATCAATAATTCAGACTTTGCCACAAACTGCACCTGAAAGTGTCCTGGCTACTGGTTGGTAATTCTGCATCTTTTGTTACATATGATGAAGTATGTTCGATTCTAATGTTCTCTATCCAGTGCATCAATTTATGCTGCTTGAAACCTGTGTCAGTAATCAATCAATAAAAAGAAAATTATCTTTGCAAAATGTTCTCAATCTATCCCTTACATTCTTTCATTTCCCCGTTCAAATCTTCCTATGATTCTCTAATTTTCACATTTAAATCAGAATTCTTCAACTGCATCTGTAGGAAATGCATATACTTAGATAGCATTGATATTTACTGAATGTCTGCTACTTCAATAGCTATCATCCTGTTATTTATTGGTTAAAACCAAGCAAGTATTTAGCAATATCCTTTCATTGTCACCCCATCACTTCTTATGTACTGATATATAATGTAATAATACATAATGTAATAATATTATGTATAATTACATTATATATATATATATATATATATATA